TGAAATTATGTTAGTATACATAGTAGAGTTAACAAGGTATATCTAAATTTTTAATGTAAAATTCTGTATTTAATGGTAGAATTAATAATAAAAGTGGAAATTTGTATTCATGTAAAAATTCAAAGCTTTAAGATTATTTCAATGTGATTCAGTGTGATAAAATGGCTATTTGTTTAGTAAAGCAGCAAGAGTGAGTCACTTGCAGAAATGCAATTAAGATAGCTGCCAACCAAATTCCTTTTCCACTGATATTGTTATTAATTTAAATACATTTTAATAAAAATTAATCAGTTAATTGTGGTATATGTATCTTGCCACTATGATTAGCAAGATGATTTAGCTCATCAAAAGAAGAATAACTTCAAAATTATCATTATAATTGCCCTTAAAAATTTTAATATACATTTAATATAGTAGATGTCTTATTTAATTGAACTTTCTATATTCATTTAATTCTGTATAGCAACCATAAAATATGACTTAGGAAAGAATAAAGACAAAATGTTAAAAGAAAAGACACCTCAGAAAATATAATTTATAAAAAGTGCATTGACATCGGATCAGCTCTTCCAGCTAAAAGTCTAATATTCTCTAAGCTTATGAGAAATTTTTAAATGTGTATAACACACAAGGAGAATATTTGCAAATCAGAATGAGAAGATGGATGATTGATGGATGAGTGGATGAGTGAATGGGTAGATGGATGGATGGGTAGATGGATGGATGGATAGATGGATGATTGGATAGGTGGATGGATGGGTGGATGGATGGGTAGATGGATGGATGAATGGATAGAGTCAGACACAAAAGGCCTTGCCTTGGTAGTAGATCATCAATCCACTATAGACTTATGTTTGTATGGTAAATCCTACAAGAATGCTACAACCTTGAGGAACTCCTCCATTCAAAAGCTGTTACAGTGACCTAGCAGCTCTCTTAATACATCACCTTCCATTAAGCGATCTTTTAAATGCAAATAAAAGCAAAGCAAAACCAAACTGTATTTAATATTTCATATTAAATAATTCAAATGATACAGATTTATATTTATTCAATATAAATCAGGTGTTCCTTCTGCTTGAAAAATCCATTCTCCTTCTCCAGAGCAGTGACCACTGCCTCTCTAAGCTCTCATGAGCGTGTGTGTATACGCTGTACCAGCATCTCTGTGTGTTTGTATGTCTGTGCTTTCTTCCCTGCACATAAAAAAGCCTGTGATGTGACATGCTGGTCCAAACCTTGATTTTTTCACATAATGAAGATTTTTTTCTTATCACATGCATAAATCTGTTTCAATCCTTTAAATAGCTTCATAGTAGCCCCTTGAAAAGATGAATCATGTTTTATTTAAACCTTCTCCTACTAAAGGATATTTCCAGTGTTTCATGTCTTGATATAAAAGACAGTAGTTTTAGTGTAAATAAGTCTTTCTGGATTGTGCAAATGGTTTTACAAGAGAAATTCCTAGAATTGGAATTGTGAACAAAAGTGAGTCCATTTTTTATCACAATAGCTATTGCTAACCAATGCTCTAGACTGCTTGTGCAGGTCAGACTCCCTCCCAGAGAACACTGCAACCTGTTTCTACACAACTGCAGATACTCTTACAAACCATCTTACTTCCCAGCTTTGTAATCATAGGTTGAATCATATCTGTGGGCTGGAGATTACCTCAATGGTAGAGGGCTTGCTTAGCATGCATGAGGCCCTGGGTTCAATCCCTTGTTCTACAAAGAAAGACAAAACAACAACAAGAAGAAGCATATTTATTAACTTGACATGCATTTCTTTAATTATAATGCAGCAGAGTAGTTTTCATATGTCTACAATAATGTGCATTTGTCTTGGAATTATCTGAGTATGTCTTTTTTCTATTTCTGCATTGGGTTGTTGGTGTTTTTCGTACTATATTTGTATTATATTTGAATATTCAGGATATTAATCATATATGTGTGTGTATGAATAGGTATTTTATTAAATTTCTCAAAAAGTCTTCTTATAGTTTCCAATGTGATTTTACTGAATATATTAATTAGAAGAGACACCAGCTTTTTATATATTGGGACTTCCCATTTAAGGGGCACAGAATTTTTTCATTAAATCATATTCACTGTGTTCTTACACTTTTAAATTTTGTCTCCAAGACTCTTCTATAGTTATGCTAAATCATGCCATAATCACAATAACCTTATATTTATTGTAGGAATTTTCACTGCCATCATTTTTCAGATGAGGAAACTGAACTCAGATTAAAAAAATAATAACTTCTCAGAACACCTAGCAAGTAAGGAACAGAGCTGGATTCAGCCACTTAGTGGTCACTCTATCTCCAGGAGCTTTATAGTTTGGCTGATATTGTGAATGGTGTTTCTTAACTGATGGTTTCAGTTGTACAAAGATTAATTTTTTTCAGTGCTGAGGACGGAGTTCAGGGTCTCATGAGTATAAGGCAAGTACCCACCCTGAGCCACCACTAGCCTGGCTGGTTTTCTCAAGTTGTTATTGTTGTCCAGTGAAGTTGTTGAATTCTCTCAATACTTCTAGTGTTTGGTATACTCATTCTAGATTTTTTGTTTGTTTGTTTTGCAGATCAATTACTTAAAAATATATTTTTAGTTGTCAATGGATCTTTTATTTTTATTTACTTACTTATTTTTTATATATGGTGCTGACGGTTGAACCCAGGGGCTCACACATGCTGGGCCAGTGCTCTACCACTGAGCCACAACTCTAACCCAGATCAATTATTTAAAAAAAAAAATAACAGTTTTAATTTTTCTTTTGCAATAAATCTCTCATTTTTTTTTCATTTCATATTGCGTTGGCCCAAACCTCTAGTGCAATGTTCCACACTATACAGTAGTTATCACAGACAAAGAATGCCTTCTATAGAAAAGTAATGATAGTGCAGAAAGGGCTGTTTATTTCATGTTGGTTACAAGTATGGGCAGCACATTAGAAACATGCTCCATAAAACTTTAGGTCACATACTGTATCTGGTGGCCAAAAATCCATTTTGAACAGAGGCCCTGTGTTCATCCATGCATCAGAAATTATGTTACTGTAGGAGATAATGCTTCCAGGGAGAAACAGCTCAGCTGCAACCAGTTTGACTTTGTTGAAATGAAGTACCCTTAACTCCACCCTAAACCCATGTGGTGCAACAGGTCTCTATGCCATGTACTTGCTTCCCACAAACTACTAAATACAATTGTTCTGACAATGGATTGGTCTGTGCACCATGGACAATTCAGACAGCAGCATTGGAAGGGGCCTGCTTTACATGTACCTGAAAGTCCCTAGGATGGGGCCTCATCACCTTCAAACACATGATCTACCAGGCCAGGCTAATGCCAGGACTCAGAAGGGCCTGCATCAGCCTAGGGTCCTCTCCATCCACCTGGCCATGGCCTCCAGCAGAGGCTGAACCTGCTCAGAGGTCCTGATAACATGCCAATATGCTGACCTCCTCCATCCAGACCTCAATGGAGACCAGCGGGAGCACCCACTCCTCTCTTCTGTGTCTCCAAAGGCTTCTCATTGGGGAAATTGGTGCTTCTGTACAAAGGCAGACCCTGGCAGCCAGACACATCAAAGCAAAAGCTCCAAGTTGGTGACTAAAACATCCCTCCCCTCTACATAGGCAGAGTGACTGATGTTTAAGGGGGAAATAAATACCTCTCAGCCAGCACCTCTGAAGTACAACTTCACTGATTGAACTCTACTCCTCTTCTAGTGACCCAGGCTGCAGGAGCTGGAACAGTCTCCCTTCAGCCATCCTCAATACCTTCCTATGCCTCCCACGGTGAAGTCAACAGACTGTGGATAGTGGCCACCCTGAGAATCCCTTCTGCCCACCCGCTGTTCTCCGTCCAGCATGGAGATGTGGCCATATGCTGCCAAATGCTCCCGCTACTCTGCTCTCCTGGGATCACAGTACCACTGAAGGGATATTTCACCCTGCAAACCCAACCACACCTCCCTACCCTCAGAATAGAACTGTGCTCTTTAGCATGGTGCCCACTACCCTTATCAATGCCCGCATCCTGATCCCTAAATCCACTTCTCTCTTCCCCGCCTCCCTAACTGCTCTGATATTATTTCTGGAGCTGGAACCTGCTGCCACCCTTGGAAGCACTCTGGTACCCACTTTTCCTTCCCTGTCAGGTTGGGACCCTAGGAGCTTCTGCTACCTCCAGGACCGGGCTGCTCCCGCTGAGCAGTGTCCTCTCTCTGGGCCTTTCCTCCAGGCCCTTGGGGTTTCTCCCACCAAACCCTAACTTCTCTCTCGCTGCCATCAGAAAGTGGGTTCTCTAAGAGAGCAGCTACTGTCAGCCATCCCCATCTCACCCTTCTCATGCCTAAGAGGTCCTGTGACAAAATACTGCATCAGGTTTGGGGTCATAGGGTGCTCCCAAAGGGTCCTGTTCACCCCAGTGTCCTGTGCCCGGCACCTCCTCGGCCTGGCGCACAATGAATGGATCATCTGAAGGAATGAGCGATGGACAATCTGTCCACTCCACCCAGAAACAAGAGAGATGTCACCGCTAGGGCGCGTTGGTGATGGAGGAAAAGGACAACGGGCGGCACCACTTCTGCGCGCTGGGCGAGGCTTTGGGACACAGTAGAACTTCTAGACCTGGCGGGCCCAGGTCGCAGTGCGGCGGATCCCTCCTGCCCAGGACCCCGCCGCGACTCTGCGCTAATTTCACTTTCAATATGCGCGCGCAGGCGGCGGGGCGGCCCCGGGATCCGGCCGGGCACTCCGAGAGTTAATCCGAAAGCGCCGCCAGCCCCGCGGGCAGGAAGGACCGCACGTGTCACCGAGAAACTGATGTAGAGAGAGACAGAGAGAGAAAGCAAGAGCCCTAAGTCCTGGGAAAGTCCTGCCGCGCCTCGAGGAGTTATAAAAATGTGGCCTTCTGGGTCCCCAGCCCATAGCCAACTCACCTGCCAGGACCACCTGCCAGCGTCCAGCTCCTGCTCAGGGTCCGCCCGGCATGTGTCCATCAGCGCGCAGTGAGTAGCCGCCAGGGGCGGCGGTGGGGAGGCTGGAGACAGCAGGACCCAGATGGCTGCCCCGCCCGGAGACTGGAGCGTCGCGAAAGGGATAGAAGTGGGAAAGGACGAATGGGCACCTGCCTGCCCCGGGCTCACAGAGCACAGCGTCTCTTTTCATTTTGAAGCAGCTCATTAGCTATCATTCTGTTCACTTTAGAGACGAGAAACCAAGGCCCAGCAGGGGGGTGTCTTGCCTAGGAGACTTCTTACAGCTACAGCTATAAGCAGATCTCAAGTCAGCTGCAAAGGAGGCTTTGACCCCCGCTGTTCCAAAAGACTGGGATCCTGAGCCAGTCGTTTCTGCTCCTGGGCTTGGTTTCCCTATTCAAAATATGGAGGCTTTCTCTGAGGGAGTGCTGAGCTCTGGGGCATCCAGAGAGCAGATTCTTAGCCCTGATATTAAGGGGAGCTGCCCTTCAATAACTGGATCCATCTCTCAGGTGGGAAGGAAGTGTTGGTAAAGGGCGGAGGGGGTCAGCACCAAGGAGAAAGGATAGGCAAAGATGACCAGGGCAGATCAGCAGCTCAGCTGCCCCCAATTCACTTGCAGGCCTCCTTCTCCTGGCCTCCCTTGTCCTCCTGGAGCATCTTGGTTCTGCCAGGAACCTCCCCAGGAGCACCCCAGTCCCAGCAGTGTCCCAGGAGTGCCACAACCTCTCCCAAACCCTGCTGAGCACTGTGGACAGTGCCCTACAGAACGTAAGTGCCAGTGTCCCCTTGAGCTCTGCTGAAGGGACCTGCTGAGACAATGCAGCAACTGGGGAACTGCAGGATAGCTGTCAGGAGGGGAGAGGGACTTCACAAATGACTTGTCAGTTTAAGGGACTTAGAGAAAGCAGAGTAGTGGTAAATGATGGAGGTTAGTTTGGCTCTGCCAGTAGCAGGGCAATGTGTGCAGTGTCCCAGCAGCAAGCCAGCATAGGGGCATTTGCGCCAGGAATAAGACCTTGCAGATGAGGTCAATCCACGGAGCAGTTGGGTGGGTCTCTGTGGGGCCACATGATGAACTAGATTGCCATGTCCAGTGTGGTGATGTGCATCGTGTGGGAGTCACATACCTCAAGGAGGATGGTGATCATTTGTGTCCAGCTTTTGTTTCATAGGGAAGCATTGTCTGAGTTTGTTTATAGCTTTCATTTTGGGGATTTTTGTATTTTAATGCAAAAAAAAATTCTTTTTCTTTTTAAAGCTGCTTCAATGAGCTCTTGCTGCAAAGCCATAGCAGAAGCTACTCAGGGCTGAGGTTTAGCTCAGTTATAGAAGTGAGTTAGAACCCCTGCAGTGTCAAAAAAAAATCCTTTTGCAATCCTGCTCACTAGAAGAAATTTCTAGCTTGTTGCCTTATGAATAACTTAGAAAAAGCTCAATGCCACAGGGCCTTGAAGAAGTCCTTCATCTTCTTCCATAATGCACTGCAGATTGCTTCTTGGACTTCAGTTGTAATTAAAAGGGGGTACCCCAAGTGAAGCCTGCAGAGGTACAGCTTCTTTTCTGAAGAAACTTTCAATACAGACAGGATGTGAGAGCTGAGATTAGAATGGATGCTTTGTGTGAGGAAGCAAATACTTCCACTCCCAGCCACAGCGCTGAAGTCGTGGCATCACAAAATTTATTTGGAAGCTTTTGTGCCTTGCCTTGTCAGATTTGCCAGAATAAACCAACCCGCATTGCAGAACATGGAGTTGGCAATTGCATGGTATTCACAGCCTGTTGCGAATTTGTAGAGTCGGGCCAATGTTGTTTTCATTTTATTTTGACTTTTGAGTTTGATGCCATTGAAAAATTGGACTTCTCCTAGGAGAATCTGAACTTCCAGCTTCCCTTGGAAAGGTCTAAAGGACACAACTCCAGGCCCCTGCCCAATCTCTTTACAATCTACTCAAGTGGCTGTGGCCCAGGGCTGCTGGGTACCTCCAGGAGCAGTGCACACACTTTCCGTGCTGCTGTCCTGAATCACCACTAACATGGCTTTAAACAAGAAAAATGTGTCATCTTCTAGCTCCAGAGGTCAGAAGCCCAGTGTGGGCTGATGGGACTAAAATCAGTGTGTCTTCAGAGCTTACATCCCTTTCTGGAAGCTCCAGGGGAGAATGTGATGTCTCTCACCTTCCACAGTTTCTAGAAACTGCTGAGTTCCTGGGCTGGGCTCCCTTCCACCTTCCAAACCAGAACTGAGGGGTGTAGTTCAGTGACAGAGCATGTGCCTGATGTGGGGTGTGGGCCCTGAGTTCAAATCCCAGCTCTATGAAAAAAGAAAAAATCTGGCAGGCCTTTGCATTCTTCCTCATGTTGTCACTCGTGGTCGACACTTCTGCTCTCTGCCTCCTGGAGGACCCTGTGCTTACCCTGGGCCAGGATTCTCTCCCTGCTATTACAGCCTTACTTCCTCTGCCATGTCATGCAGCATATTTCCAGATTCCAGGGTGGGGAGGTATATATCAGATGATGAGCAGTGAGGCGTCAGTCTACCTGCTGCAGATAGGGACATCCCTACTTGCACCCAAATGTGTTCTGCCCTCTCTGGCCTTGATCCTGGCTCTTGAGGTTCCCTCTGTGGTGCTTTAGAGCTCTCCTCTCTGCCCAGAGCCTCCATGCCCTCCCCAGTGCTTCTCACCTGCTGACACATCTTCTGGTGATCTGGGCACATGCCTGTCTTTGCAGCTGAACTCAGAATCCACAGGGACATGCCATCCTTCTCTTTGCCTTGTCCTTGGTCCATAGGCTCATTGGTGGAAAGTGATGTCAACCTTTAATCAGAAAGTCATTGCCTTCTCAGGACACATTGCCTGATTCCATCCAACAGGGTCTTCCAACAGGGCCTGTGGGATGCCATCTGTGCAGACTACATGTGTGTGGATCACAAGTGAAATTTTGGCTAGTCTTTAGGGCTTGCATGTGTGTTGCAGCCACCAAGATGGGGCCTTAACAGCACCCCTGTAGGAGCTGAAGATACTCATAGAATACAGGCACTTTGGCAAGAGAAAACAGTTTTGCCCAGAAGCAAAACTGGTGTGGATGCTGATTAGCACAGCCTGTTGGAATGACTTGTAGTGTTTACATAATGAAAAAAGATGTGACCCAGGGAGACAGGTCTCAAGCCAAGGACATGGAGGGGAGGGGGATGCTGACTGCCTGTCTCTTTCATTGGATGAAGAACAGGCATCTCCTGTAGGTCAGAGAGGTGCAGGTCAAGGGCAGCCAGCCACAGCTTTGATGGTACCCGGGCTGCTAGCCCCACAGGAGCTGGGGCCTTCTCGGTGACCCCAGCTGAACTTCTCATGTTCTTCCTAGGCCATAGAAATCCTAGAGTATTATCCCTGCAGTGCTGAAGAGGTCAATCATGAAGATATCACCAAGAACAGAACCAACACAGTGAAGGCCTGCTTGCCCCAGGAACTAGCCCAGGTACAGCGACTTCCCTCCCAGAGCACCAGTGCAGCTCACCCCACTGCTTCCAAAGCTTGCATGCTTCTGGTTCCCATCAGAAAAAAACTGATAAAAGCAGATATGTTTTTTACAACCACATGAATACGCCTAACACCCCTGAACTATATGCTTAAAATAGTTAAGGTGGTAGATTTTGTTATGCATTGTTGCCATAATAGAAGGTTTGAGGTGAAACACCAGATATATTTCTGTTGAGAGTTAACACCTTCAATATGGGCTTTTTTCCCTCTAGAATGAAAACTGCCTGGCTTCCAGAGAGACCTCTTTTATAATTGTAAGTAAAAAAATTCAAGGTTTCCCCCACTTGGTGAATTCATATGCTGATGTTTGGTTCTTCTTCCGCTAGAAGAGGAGCAGCCTGACCTCGGGGAGGACCTCCTGGAATACGGTAAGACCCACCACTCTTCTCAGATGCATGGGGTGCGGAGATAGCTTGGCTCATCTCAATGGTTTTTTTTTTTTCCCATTTTGTGCCATCACTCAGACGCTGTGCTTTAGTAGTATCTATGAGGACTTGAAGATGTACCAGCTGGAGCTCAAGGCCATCAGTGAAAAGCTGTTGATGGATCCTAAGGGGCAGATCTATGAAGATAAAGCCCTGCTGGCTGCTGTGGATTACCTGATGCAGGTAAGGCCCCCGTCTCGTCAGTGAAGTACCTTTAATGCCGAGCCCTGCCAGCCAGGGCCCTTGTTACAGAGAATTAGGAGAGGCCTTCAGCCCCTTTTGAAGTCCCCTTCAGAGCAGTATCCCCAGGGAGACAGCCTTCAGGACACCCTCTACAGGGAGGGCCAACATGAGCAGTCACTTATGAAAAGAAACCTCCCGTGTCCACCACAAGGTAATGCCAAGCTGTTTGCAGGTGTTTTCATGCATCATCACCACAACAGCCATTTGAGGTCTGTACAAAGGAAGAAGCTGAAGCTTAAGAGACACACAGCCTGAGCTAGAGGCAGAGCCAGGATCCCTCAAAGGGCTCTGCTGCACTCCACTTCTCCCTACCCTCAGAGGGTCCAGAAAGGGCAGGCGAGGGAAAGCACACATACTTGCAAACATGGCCCGGGAAGCAAGCAGAGCTGGTGCCTGGCTATGTCCCAGACAGAACAAAAATATGAACAAAATGGTAGACATGTACAGTGCACTCAGCAGGACTTGCATCAGTTTCTGGATCACTGTAGCCCATGATGCTAATACAAAATATAGAGACATGCACATTAGAGAGAGGGAGAGTGCTTTTCTCATCGGGGCACAGGCTGCAGGCATGGAGGCAGAAACCATCCTCTGAAAAGCAGTCATTTGCTGCATAGTGTATTTCATTTGTGTGTGTGTGTGTGTGCACCCACAATGAATTTTTTTGAAAGGCAGTGATTTTTTGCAACAGAAGAGTGTTACCACCAGAGAGTTGCAGTTGATATTTCATTTTCAGGACCTAGTCAGATGATTTGGGCTTAACCAAACAATCCCTGAGTCCTGAAGCTCGCTCCTCTGTCAAATGCAATGGCTGTACATACCTTTCCTTTCTTTTAGAACTTTTTTGAGGAGCAAGTGGGAGTACTGACCCTCATGCAGTAAGATCTTATATAGTGTTAGCAAATCTAAGGCTAAAATAGGGAAATGCATTGCCAGGTTTCTGTGTCTTACATGACGTCATTTCCACAGGAAGCAGATCAATTACTGATAAAATCCGGATCAGTAGCCATCCATACCTCCCTGTTGGAAAAAGGAAGGAGCTTCATCATGTAAGCTCTAAAAGTTAGATACAGCAACAGGTGCCATGTTAACAGAATCATGCATAGAACAACTCCTGTTGAGCAGCATAGGGAACTCTCCTGAGCTCACTGAAGGTGCATAGCCTGAGCATGTGTGTGTCTTCTCTCAGGTCTGCCTGGCCCTCTGGTCTGATTGGGCTTGGAGAGTGAGGGGGCACCGTGCCGCAGGCCCTGCTTTAGCCATTTTTACAGATGAATGTTTTCCTTTTGGAATTCTATCTGTCATACTCAGTATTTATCCTTCTAGGCCGTGAATGTCAACAATGAGACTGTGCCTCAGACACCTTCCCCTGAAGCACCTTCCCCTAATTTGTATAGAACGAAAACCAAGCTCTGCATACTTCTTCATGCTCTGCGAATCCGGGCGGTGACCATCAACAGGGTGATGAGCTATCTGAATTCTTCTTAGGAAGCTGAGGGGCCTCCCAGCCTAGTGTCTTTTGCATAAAAGTCTGAACCAAAGAAATTTTAATGATGTGTGGGTCAAGCCAGGGAGGGGACCTGGCTGTACCTAAGCCCCTGCGAGAATCTTCTCTGTGCTCCCTTTGCTTACCCCTGCTGCTAAACAGGTTGCTAAGGAGGGACAGAGTCCTTCCTGAAGGCGTTTTCTTTCCCTTTCCTAGAAGAGCAAGAATTAATAAGCTATCTCTGTACTGAGGTGTTTACAGAAACACTCAAGCATCATTTATTTAAAGATATTTATTGATATAATTTATGTTCATGAAACCATGTGAACTAATTTATATTTATTTATGTTCTATTTATTAAAGTATTTCTTATCAAGTGAATTTCAAATAAATATTCCAGTAATAAAGTGGTGGAGTGAAAGTAATTTCAGTGTTTCTGGAGTATTTGGTTTGCTTTAAGGATTTGGATACATAGTGCAAAAGAACTGAGGATTCTGGCGAAGTTGGAACAAATGTCCCTGCTTAGACGAACATGAGCCTCATCCAGCCATCCCAGGTTCCTGGAGCTCATTTATCAGGAAACCTGTCAGACTAGACTGCTTTGGTGCTGAATGGTTGGAGCCAGTTATCTTTTAAAAAAAACTTGCTTTGTTGTTCATCATCTGACTTTAAAAGTAAAACACACAAAATGTTCTCCCTGTCACCCACAGTCCCCTGACACTGCCTTAGTTAGATACGCCATCCCATCTTATCTTCAACTGGGAAAATACCACCAAGAGGGCTTCTAGTTAAATCACTCTACTTTTTTTTTTTTTGACACCCCGCCCCTACCCCCAGGGCTCTCAGGGGAGATCTTTTTGAATTAGAATTAGAAATACACCTCATCTGCCTAAGAGCCTGTAGAGCTTTTCCTGGAAGCACAGTGATTGTTGCCTTTTTTGGCCTTCTTCATGAGGGAAATATTGAATTCCATCCTTTTGATTCTTCAAACAATGTTGAAAAGATTCTCCCAACAGAATGCCATGGTGTGTTAGTGCTGGGATAATCCTACTTCACAGGAAAAGGCCACAGACCTGAAATATTTAATGAGTGCTATCAGGTCCGCCTCCCCACCAATCTGCCAGACCCAGCCTCAACCCTTTGAACTGGGGCAGGTGTGAGTGAGACTCCAGGGCCTCCCTGAGGCAAACTTGCTGGCTGTTCAGGTTCTCACTGAAGATTGGTCCAATGGAAGTCACAGGAATCCAGGCCTCCCATGCCGTCCTTCCTCCATGCAGGGTCCTTTCCTTCCCGGAGTGGGCTCAGTTCTGCAGCCTTGACCTGGGTGGAACCTCATGCTGTGGAGCTGCTGCTGAGTCCTGCTGGTTGTCTTGGCCGCAAACAGGGAGGGCGAGTGGATGGATGTGCGGAGGAACATGGTGTGACTTTGGTTCTGGAGAACTCTACCAGATGAGCTTCAAAAGCAGGACCCACCTCATCACCTGGGAGTTTCCACTTCTCCTTCAGGGCTGGAGCTTCAGCCTACCAAGCTGCTTAAGGGCCCTGTCAGGTGCTCTTGTAGGAAGTGAGGATTGTGCTGGGGCCTACCTTGTAGGATCTGAGTGGGGTTAGGTGGGACAGCCTGAGCCCGGAACACAGTTGGTGCCCAGTGAATATCAGCAAGTCTTGAATATTGCTGTTAGTCTTGGGCTTGGCAAGTGGCCAGATCTGTTCAAGCTCTTTGCTGCAGTCTGTCACCAGTGAGATTCTGAGGAGCCACTTCACAGTATTGCTGAGCTGAGACAGGCAGAGGGCGCTAGTGTGCAGCTGTGCTCCAGGTCAGTGTGCTAACTCTTGGGCTGTTCGCCTGAAGAGCTGCCTTCTGCCTGTCCCTCCAGGGCACTGAGCATGGAAAGCCTGTTCAGCCCAGAGGCTGCCTGGTGTGGGGGGAACAGAGTGAAAAGGCAGAGACTCTGCCTCCAAGAACAGAAGGAGCAATGTGACTTAGTAGGGCTGAGTACCCCAAACCAACCCTCGCTGTAGCCCACTGCAGAGTCATCTGGCCCAAGAGCTACTGCTTTGCAAAGGAAATAACCCATGGAGGTGTTCCTCATACCCAGGGGACTCCATCAAAGTAACCAGCAGGCAGCTGCCTGCTGAGGGCCCAGGGTTGGGGGGTGGTCTGGCCAGACCAGTGGGTGTTGAAAACTCGAGCTACGAGGGGCCTGGACACCCCAGGAGGACAGAAAACACAGGACAGTAGGAGGAACAGTGTTCTTGCGGCCAGCAGGACAGCCTTCAGGAGTCATTGGCTGTGTGACTCAGTCCTTTCAGCCATCCTTTCCAGCATGGGCAAGCCCTTATTTCCAGTTGACATAACTGTGTGGATCATATTTAAAATAAGAAGAAGCTGCAGTCACACTTTCCCAAACATGTACCTGAAATATATTACAAAAAAAATACACACCTGCCATTCCAGATACTGGGGAGGCCCTGGAGGGAGGATCACTTGAGCCTAGGACTGGAGGCCAGCATGGGCAGCATAGAACCAGTCTCAATTTTTTTTGTTGTTGTTGTTATATAAATTGAATGTGTATCAACTTTTTTTTTTGGTTGAAATGCATTTTGTGAAAATGAGCATGAAAGCTTCTGTGTATTTATGTATCTTTAAATTTTTTATTAAAAATAGAAGTGTTGGAGCCACCATTTGACCCAGCTATTCCCCTTCTTGGTCTATTCCCTAAAGACCTAAAAAGAGCATGCTACAGGGACACTGCTACTTCGATGTTCATAGCAGCACAATTCACAATAGCAAGACTGTGGAACCAACCCAGATGCCCTTCAATAGACGAATGGATTAAAAAAATGTGGCATTTATACACAATGGAGTATTATTCTGCATTAAAAAATGACAAAATCATAGAATTTTCAAGGAAATGGATGGCACTAGAGCAGATTATGCTAAGTGAAGCTAGCCAATCCCTAAAAAACAAATGCCAAATGTCTTCTTTGATATAAGGAGAGTAACTAAGAACAGAGTAGGGACGAAGAGCATGAGAAGAAGATTAACATTAAACAGAGATGAGAGGTGGGAGGGAAAGGGAGAGAAAAGGGAAATTGTATGGAAATGGAAGGAGACCCTCAGGGTTATACAAAAGAACATACAAGAGGAAATGAGGGGAAAGGGAAAAATAATACAAGGGGGAGAAATGAAGGTCAGTAGAGGGGGTAGAGAGAGAAGATGGGTGGGGAGGGGAGGGGAGGGGGGATAGTAGAGGATAGGAAAGGTAGCAGAACATGACAGTCACTAGTATGGCAATATGTAAATCAATGGATGTGTAACTGATGTGATTCTGCAATCTGTATATGGGCTAAAAATGGGAGTTCATAACCCACTTGAAGCAAAGTGTGAAAGATGATATATCAAGAACTATGTAATGTTTTGAACAACCAACAAGAAAAAAAAAAGAAAAAAAAAATAAAAATAGAAGTGTGAGGTAGAGGCTGAGGTTTAGCTCCTGGGTAGAGCATGCTGGAGGTCCTGGGTTTCATTCTCAGTACCACAAAGAACAAGAATATCAGAATGAATTATGACTTCAAGGTAATATCAGAACATATGTTCGTGGAACTGTTTAGGAAAGAGAAGGAGCTCACGGTTACCATGTGCTTAGTGACTTCCAGGTGTGTTTTATGTTGTCAACAGGGAACCTGAGGCAGAGGGAGAGCACGCAGCCTGTTCCCAGACCACCATGCACCCAGTACACCCTGTGCATCTTGTTCGGGTCACAGCAAGTCAGGGACACCAGCACCACAGACATCAGATGCCATCACCAGGATTCAGGTCCTCTCCTCTGCCTCACTTCACCATGAGACACTCAAAGACAGGAAGCTTCGTGCTACACTGGCACTCAAAGCAGGTGATGAAGGAAATCTTCATGGCTCCTTTGTGTTTCTTGTTTTTTCAAAGTGTAGACATGAAAGTCTTTAGGCTTTTAAAAGAAAAATTATGTTCAATGACAAAAAGAAAAGGCTAAAAGTTTAAAAAATACATATGATCTAATTTTTTTCCCTCTAGCTTCCACATAGGAGAGCAAACACGTGATAGTTTCTAAGTCTGGCTTACTCTGCTTAACATGATGTTCTCCAGTTCTATCCACATTGCTGCAAACAGCATCAGTTCCTTTTTCTTTATAGCTGAATAAAACTCCACTGTGTATATAGAATGCATGTGCTTGATCCATTCACCTCATGAAAGCAGAAGGGAAAACACTGGGCTGGAGGGAGGGGGAAAGCAGGACCAAGGAGGGTAAGGGGAGATCATGGGAGCGAATCTGATCAGATCATGTATGTGCAGGCACAAACACGCTACAAAGAAGCCACTCTATAATTAACATGTATCAATAAAAATCTATATGTATTACTGAGTATGACAGAGAGGAAATATTTTCTAAATTGTCAATAATAAAAAATATTTCAAGCCATCATGAAAAAATGCATATGTTTTCTTGGTTCAAAATAATTATACATGTTTGTAACTGGGGAAAGATCCAAAATGCATAAGCCTCTTAACTTAGTTAAAAGCAATGAAATGTCTATGGTTTGGGGTTACTGGTTACTATCCTTGAAAATCAGTGAGCTGGATGGGGACCGGAGATCCATGGAGGAGCAGTTCTGTTCCTTAGCACGCAGGAAGTCTCAGATTCAGTCCTCAACACAGCACCCCTGTTCACTACAGAGTGGCTTCCTCCCCATGGCACTGCAGAGGTCACTACCAGACAGCAATTTTCTGAGACATGCACAATCATCTCGTATTTACTGCCCACGATGTCTGTGAAAGGCCCAGGTCTAGCAGGAACCTGAGCAACCCCACTTTCGAGTGCTTTCCCAGTGTGGGTTGCAAGTGAGATTTCCCTGGGGTGGAGGGATCTCTGCTCTTCCCTGTGTGGAAGGGCCAGATAGGTGTCCCAGGCCTGTGGGACACTTGGGGGAAGCAGTGGCCCTGTTCATATTCACTTAGCCTCAGTCCAAGCACAGAGAACTGAGCTCAAAGCCAGCCATTGCA